CCCCCCCCCCCCCCCTATGAAGGCACTTCCTGCGACATCTACCTGCAAAGTTTTTAATTACTCAACCGGCGATCTTACCGCAATTATTGTAAGCTATGAAGGAGACTTTCCGATGTTCATAATCGCTTTCTAACTATCTTGTTTTGCGGCTGGTATAGCTTGTGTGAATAGGAACAGATTAATGACATTTGTTAACAAAAACCGTGCTGGAAAGGATTACCGCCGGATGGCTGGGAGGAAAGGGGGAGGGGGCTATCGATTTCCTATTTGGAAAATTTCAAAATGGATGCGACCACTGGAAACTAAAAAAGGTGAATGGTCGTTTCTTCATGGAATTATGAAGTAGCAAGTGGATGTACAATGATAACAAAACGCCCTGCTCAGTAATGGATTGTGGAAAAGCATCGAGTAACCACTTCTAATCCTGAAGGTGAGGAAGCGAGCGTATAACAACTGTTTCAATTGGATCGAACAGTTTCTGCATTAATGCATATGTATGTATATATGTAGATGAAAGAGGTTTTTGAGCTCTTCCTGACTTCATTTAGGCCGCTTTCGATATCACGGGCCCCTTACGGCTTAACTGGAGACCGCTGTTCTTCCTAGTTGCGAATCTCGGAATCCATTTTATCATGAGCTGTACCTTCTAGTCAGCATTTGTTGTGTCTTCAAGAAGGTGGAATCTGCGAAAGCTCTGTTACTAACGATATCGAAAGGGTTGCAGAAGAGGCTGAATAAAGCAAATAAGTCTTTGGGCGTTGATCAATACCGTCCGAGAGATTCGCCCCCGCATTCGGCTTCCATTTAAGATCGGATTGGCCTATACAATAACTTAGTGTGGCCAGCCGACGAACTATTCAATGCTTTTATCCTCCAAGACGAGTTCATTTTCAATTAACCGACCCCGGAGGGATGGAAGGCTCGGTGGGCTCAGGCGGATATCGGTACAGGACTCGAAACACTGATCGTGCGTGCGTGATAGTGCGCCACTTGCCACCTCCGCTCCTTACATTCGGATTTTGGCACAAATGGAATATGCAGATCATTTATGCAAGATTCGATGTGCTCACATAGATCTGTTATTGTTATCATAAGTTTTCCTCATCCAGGGTCAGAGTTGACTGAGAGACGAAAGCGAGTCAACTCAATACCTCCTACTGCTGGCTACGTTGATAACAAAAACCAAATAAATGCAGCAGTCGGATCAACTGTACCTATTTTGAATTTCGGAGTACTCTTCGTATGGGATTCCCCACAAGTTGAGACAGTTTACTTTAGCTTACATTAGTTTGATTCTATCAAGAGAGCATGCTTACATGGGATACTTTGATGGAACTTCTGTCCTTGGTGTAGGTGTTTCAATGGTGTAAAACGCAAGTTTAAAAGTTGAAGTTGGTTTATTTCAGATACGCTTCCGGTTTGAAATTATATCAGATATATATACATGCATACATATATCCTAGCATACGTAAATTGCCAAGTCTGTCTATAAATTCCGTTCCACTAGACCTAGATCTCTGAAATTTTTAAGCGATACAGGTTGCAAGGTGAAGTAACTGGTGGTGAGGGGGACAAGAAATTACAGCATTCGGTAGGAGCTGGTAGGTATGCTATAAACTTGTCGTTTATGAGCCCACCGCGTTTTTGACCCAGTTTGGTTACCCTCATGTTTGCCCTTGTATGAGTTTCTCAATGATTTCGTTTGCACTCGCTTTGATCTTCCTTTCAGTCCAAGCACTTCCACAATTTTTCTTTGTTTGCGAGTGTTTCTAGCTATACTTTGATCATCTATTCCTATTTTTCTTGCCCCTTGCAACGGCATAATAAAGGTAATCTCATTTTGCCGAATAACCTTCTGGTAGAAGTGCAGGCGGTGTGTAATAGATTTTTTGAAGGTTGTGGTGTAGCTACTGCTTGCTTCGTGAATTCCTCAAGTCATTTTCGTATACTGATTAGTTAGTAGTTTTCGAGCACTATTCGACTCCGTTTTTATTGCTGCAGCTGTGTTCGTGTTCCACTAGGAATGGTGGTGGAACGGTTTTGTAAATTGGAGATCCCGGAAAGGAAGTCTCCCAAATCCTGCACTATGAGACGGTGGAGTCGTTGATTAACACGTTGGCGACCCCGATGCCAGGACGCACGTTTCTCGCTCGCTGGGGTACTTATATTATTTTTCAAGTGTTCCTATAATTTTTCACGTTTTCATGTATCAGCTGAGCTCACGGTTTTCTAGAAAGTCTTGAAGCATTGTGGTCCAGGAATCATTCATTTCTAACTACAGATATAAGAGAAAATAAAGGTTAATG